CTGTTAGCGCTTGGTACCGGAAAGTCCCTAACTATGCTATATTTGCATACTCTTTAGGTGCTAATGATTATTCAGTCAGGTAAAGATTTGGAACAAGACATAATGATTTCCAGTCTGTGACACTCCAGAGGGCATCTGAGACAATTTGTAGAAGCAAAATTTAAACAAGAAACATTTCTTAAATTGCAAAGGACTAACAGTTAGGAAAATTATATTGGCTTTTTCTCTGAAGCAATCCAGGATTATTTTGGCTTTTGTATATAATAACTTCCAAGTACTGCCAAGTATGTGATATTAACCTCTTGTTATGGGGCAGAAGCCTGAGCAAACAGAAATTGCCTCATTACAGTCAAGAATAATGAAGGCTAAACCAGGGACAGGCACATTCTGAGTTTATGGATCCATCTTTAAACCCTTATATTTAAATTATTATTAATTAACTGAACTTGCCTAAGCATAAAGAACCAGTGAAGAAAAGAAATTCAGTTTCTGTATTTCCTGTCCCACTGAAAGGTTTCTCCAGGTGTGCACAGAAACCTATAAACCACTATGCTCTAAAACGTGCTTCAGATAAAGATAAATAATAAATTTACATACCACTTCAATTTGCTTAAAGCAAGGATAATAATATTTTTAAATAGCTAGGAACTATACTGAGTTTTGATGTTCCTTATGGCTTCCTTCCAACTTGAGATATGATTAATATTCAACATCAACAACTTGGCTTATTAACACTTTATGCTAATATTGTGAAGCACTTGGAAACAGCTCAGTAGTTACATCAAAACTAAGAAGCCACTTAATCTAATAGAGACTGTAGATACCTAAAAACTCCACCTTAGTTTACTCAGTGCCTGAAATTTTATACTCTTTGAACAGAACCAAGAATCAACTGCCTTCTATATGGTTCAATCATACTGCTAATTTATTTCCTATTTCCTAGTCAATGGATATACTTCTTTCCTTCCATTACAATGGACCATGTGGGAAAAGGAAATGCCTTCTTGTCAGCACCGAGCAGCAGCCCAATTAATTTAACTTGAATTTGTTCTTACAAGGAAGTGTCTGCAAGTGTCTGTGAAACAGCAGGTATAGCAGTATGCAATCAGCTACCAGAGGACAAAGGCAATAATGCAACTGAGAAAACACAGATGGTCAGTTGTCCTCCTTTCCCTGGAACTGGCATGGATGGGAAGGGACTCCTTCAGAACTGGATGTAGTTAACATAGCTTGAGCATGTTACACAGGAAGGAACAGCAGCCTCACTGGATGCCACTGTCCAAGCCAGGGTATAGCAGTATGCAATCAGCTACCAGAGGACAAAGGCAATAATGCAACTGAGAAAACACAGATGGTCAGTTGTCCTCCTTTCCCTGGAACTGGCATGGATGGGAAGGGACTCCTTCAGAACTGGATGTAGTTAACATAGCTTGAGCATGTTACACAGGAAGGAACAGCAGCCTCACTGGATGCCACTGTCCAAGCCAGATGTGATCCATTCCCTTCCTGCTTTGATTTGCATGACAGGAACAGTACAGCTCAATGCTGAGAATAAAATTTTCTTTACAATTACTGCAATTAACCTCCAAAGAAGCATAACAGCAGGTCATGACTCTTCTTCCATTTATTCACTAGTAGTTCTTGCAATATTTAAAATAATTTCATAACTTTCAGTTTCATCTTTCTATTCCTTAAACTGCAAGAAGCAAAACAGTTGATGTCTTCGTAGGATACAGTGTGTCCACTTACTAGGAGCTCCTTAAGGAGTTTGTTATTCCTAGATATTACCTAGCTTCACTATCTGCCTTATCACACCAAGATTTTATAAACACTCAAGATAAATTATCCATCTTTTATTACAATTTTAACACAGTGAAATCAGGTCTCAGCCACTTTTCCCAATCAATTCAAATTACTTCCATATTGCTGCCTTTTCTTTACAAAACCTTGAGGCCTCCTGTCGACATAATTATCATAAGCTAAATTAAAACAACCCTCAGACTTTGCTGAATTCTACCTTCTGACACCATGTATTACAGAAGATGAAGCTGTAGGAATCACAAGATTTTAGCATAGTGTCACAGGAGTGTTACAGATCTGAGTTAATGCTCAATACCTGCTTTTAAAGCAATTCATAGCGTTGTTCTAACATATCACAAACGCTAAACAGGAAGGTGAAAATATGTTAGTGCTAGTTAGGTACTTCTTATGCTTATGAATGCAGAGTGGTTAAATAGCAGGATATTTTTCTTTCAGAGACACAGACTGGAGAAATAATTCAAACATGCATCTTCATCTGAAATTCAAACACAGCAAGCTACAAAAATGCTAATAGTTTCCAAAGATTAAAAGTAATATTTTCTAAATCTCATACACTACATGAATATTGATCAAAAAAAGAAAAAAAATATTTGTAATGAGCATGAGGGATTTTATGCAGCAGTAGGTTACTGGAGGAAAGAAAAAAAAAAAAAAAGAAACAACCAGAAAACCAGAATACACTTCAAAAGAGCTTGCCTCCTACTACAAATAACCTAGCCAGTAGGCAGCTGATGAACCTCTCACCATTATCTATTCTGTTCCTGATATTAATCTGCTGTAAACTTGACTTTCCTGTCCATATACTCCACCTATGTATAGCATCCTGTCTTTAGGTCAGGGTTTCAGCTCTTTAAGGTTAGAGACTATAGTTTTGTTATGAACAGGTATGGCAGGTGACACTATGAGAACTAAATTCTTGGTTTGGATCATGAAGCTCTTAAGTAGCATAAACTCATTATTTAAATAAATCATGAAAACTGTAAAAGTTAATGTATATGTATCTAAAAGAAAACAAAGAAAACACTTAATAAAAATTCTCATTTTCGACCTTTTTTATTTTAAAAAGCTATTTTTAGAAAAGTTTATCTGTGAATTTTCTAGACATTGTCTAGCATTGCAAAAAATTATTTAGAAGTCTTAAGAGTTTAGGGAAAATCTAGATGTTCCATACCTTTCTTTCATATTCTTTATTACTCAAGCTTTTTTCATCTAATCATTTTTTCTTTTACTTCAGAGCTTTCCATGATCTAATTCTCGGTGTGTGGTTCTGTTTTTTCAGTGTATTCAACTCATGTCATTTTCTTCTGTCCTCCTAGCACTACATAAAGAACAATTAACCAAAACCTTTTAATTTATTTCAATTTCAAAACTGCACGATCCAGAATTATTTAGCCATCCTTTCAGTGTTTCAAAGGTTCTTATTTAATATATATCTAGGAGTTATTTAGCCTATATATAACTGCAATTTCTACTAAGCAACACAGCAACTACATCTTGCATGAAGTCTTGTAGCGTGTACACACTGAGCTTTTCCCCCTTACAGTTCAGAAATTTTAATACTTTTTTTCAGGAAGACTTTTGCTCAGGTCTTCCCATCCAGCACCAAAATGTATTTTTCATACCTATAAAGAAACTGTTTGCATCACCATATAATCAGTAGCTCTCATACTAAAAACCTCTAGTGTATAAGTGTGGCTTCACGGATATTTGTTAAACAGCATACTGGATTTAATAGCAAGGATGCTCCAGGAGCTTTGTGTCTTCAAACTTGAGGTTAAAGAAACATGGCACTTTTATTCTGGTATTTACCTAACAAGTCTATTTGAATTTGTTCTCAAGACAAAGGGAAATATCTGTCAGAATCATTAGCTACATATTTCTTTACAAAATGTGCAAAACCAAAATAGTGTGCATACCTGTGTGTCAAACAACAACAAACCTCGTGTTCTACAGCCAAAACGAAACATCATTGCAATCCATCATTTCTAAACCCCAGAAAGGCTCATTAAAGGTGTTTTATGAAGTTGTTCCAAATACAGAGGAAACAGCTGGAATGAACCTTCCAGACTGGGCGTGGGTGGTTTAAAACCTGAATACAAATTGAAGCTGCTGTACCTGCCCCTTCCACCATCACTGGCCTGCCCAGCCTCTGGCCTCAAATCTTGCAGAATTTGAGAGAATTTAAGCAGCATCAGGATACCAATTGCAGCAATGTTCAGTCTGCTGAACTGAAAGCCTGCCTTTTAAGAATACAGTTAGTATTTTTTATAGGATTATTTCTTCAGCTATCATTTTTTTCTAAGTTCTAACTGAATATGAATATAGTCAATTTATTTTATGACAAAACTGTCACCTGTACAGAAATGAGGTGGAGCAACAGTACAGCAAGAATTCCAAGAGAAAAAACCTAAAACAATACCAAAACCTTTCATTAAGGAAATAGCAGCTTAATCCTGTTTGGAAGTGGGTGCAATTAATTCAAGGATTAATAAAAAGACTCTAACAAAGACCTCAAATGCTACCAAAACCAGCTTGTTTCCATTCTGAATGTCTCTTTTTATTTGTAAAGACTGGCATTACAATTGAAAAGGACTCAAAATGGAGTGATGTACACATCATTGGTGTTTCATGATGCAAGTGATGGAGTCCCTGAATGGATATTGCTTCAGCTTTGCTTTTAAAAAATAATTTAACAAGAAAATCTTCAACTCCACTATCGATCACAGGTGGCAGAAATGAAAGAAAGAAAAAAAAAGAAACCAAAATTACTGTCAAATTCATAACATATACATTGTTGGTTGATGACACGATCCAAATGTACAATAAAGCCCACAACACTTTATTACTATGGATATAATTATTGTGAATGTCTTTTCATGTTGATCAACTTGTCTCTGAAGGTTGGTTTTTTGATTGTTTTAAACTTGCATAATAAACATGCAATGAAACATTTCTTGTTAAAGTGGTTTTTTTGCAGCTGTCTTGTATTCATACAAAGATTTCATAAAGTTGCAGTGTTGTATCAGAGCATTACCAAAATAAGAGCAAAAGCTAAAGAGGAAGGTAAATGTGAAGTGAACTTGATGAGAATAACCTAATCTTGTCCTGAGACACTCCAGTCTTATGAAAAAAAGATGTGCACAATCAAATCCCTTCCTCCCAGACCCACCAAAACCACAAAATAAATATTAACTTGGAAGAAAGGGAAGACATAAAGGAAAAAAAATATGATGTCATCATGCACTCATCTTCTGCATAGCTCAACCCACATATAGTAAGGCACTATTTCCCACAACTTAGTGTCCACAACAATCTTTTACAGTGCTCTGTGAACTACATATAGTTCCTTCCAGGATGATGAAATAAACAGACTGAATGAGTGTTGCTACCATGTCACCCCATATGTGATCTTACAAACAAGGGCATCATCTGGCAGTTTCAGAAATAAGCTGTCTCAAGTCTCTTCTTGTGTGTGCATGTTATGTATAGGGACATCTTTTGTGTGTGCAAGTGGTTGGTTCATTTCCAGAGTTGCTGTAATTTTTCATTGTTCTTTACTCCAGTGTTCTCAAAGCAAATACACAAGAAAATAAAAGAGCAGTTGGATCATTAAAAACAGAGCTTTGGTGCTCCAAAAAGCACACAGCTTTGGGGATTTAAGAAATCTGTTAGACATTCCCAAAAGAGCTGGGAAATACATGGACATTTTTGTCCAGAAATCCTCATCTCTGCTTAGTTGAGCTGGTCTTCATATTGTTTTCGGAAGCAATCACCAGCAGGGAAAAACTCCCAGCACCGTTCTTGATACATTTTCCATACATAGGATTCCTGAAAGAAACACAATTTACATAATTTAACATGATTTAATGAGAAAGTATCAACTGTGACTTTTTTTTTCTCTTTTATTTATATACTGCTTCACTTTTTTGATTCAACCCCCTGCACAACTTAAGAATAACAGGTCAGATAACAACATAGGAATAGAAAGTGCTATAGAAATTATACTCAATCTAACATTGAGCAACCTAAGAATCCTCGAAATTGCTTAGAAGAATGAGACGTTCCACACCATATAGGCAGCTATTCACTAGAAAACACTTCATTTTTCCAAGACTGAATGATTTCTATTTTAGAATCAGTCTTATTTAATAAGTGCTGACATTCATAGAGTTGTTCAACCTACCTGTCCTGTATGCTCTGTTTCATCTTTGTTAATAAGATACATCAGAAAAAACCTACAAGCAAAGAAACAGCTATTATGAATACAGTATTTGGAAACATTAACCAACCCACATGGAGGTGGATAGTTTTCAGAAAGTACAGTGATCATGCTGTTCATGCACTTATAATTTCCAGAGTTCTATTTATGATATTCTAAGAGAGATTAAACACACTTTCCTGACACTGTTGACATCCAGTCATTGTTCAATGAGTAGTATGCTAAAATGCAAGCGATTCAGTTTGATTTACAGTAGTTAGCTAGCAACTTGGTTTAAATTAAGATTTTCTAAGATTTCTAATCTGAAAATTATTATAAAGATTTTCTTGCCAATGAAAACCCACTTGGAAGCAGATGGTCACTGGAACTTTCTTTTTTCCCTCTTCCCTCAATGAATAAGAAATGCTGAAAATGTTTAAGAGGATTCTCTTACTGAAACTATAGGATGGAGATATTTTAATAGTGTACAGCAACTCAAGATGAGCATCAAAGAACTTGTAATTTAAAAAACCCCAACATTAGTGTTGGGGGTTTGAGAAAGGTGACATTTGCTAGGTGATAATTTCAAAATTTCACTCATAACAGACATTCTCTCTAAACATATGTAAAAACACAAAATATGACCATGCACAAAAGTAAGGAAACACAATGCCTCAGGACAACACACTTTCAGTAAGTAAGTTACAGTATGTTATTTGTGCAGCACTTAGTAAGTAGGAATAAAATCCCATATGATAGTGCTTTCAAGGTATTTTGTATGCACAACTATTTTTTATAGCGATGTTTGACTTTACACTCATTATTGTGTGCACGTACAAGTGCTACTTTATAGACATAAAGTTACAACCCATCCCCTGCTTCATACTGGCAGCTTTGTATAAAATACATTCTGGCACTGGATTTTCATATATATTTGATGGGAGAGGAACAGCATGATACAGTGGTTGTAGACCTGATAATTGGTTTTATTTCCAGATATTAAAAGATTTGACTTTAGTGGTCACTGATGCTCTGCTTGGATTTTCCAACGGTGGACCTGATGCCCTTAGATGATCCCTCCTGGCTCCAGCTCCTCGTTCCAGTTCCCCTATCTCCCTTTGCCTTGGGTTCTCTTGGTCACCCTTAGCACCCCACTCAAAATATTTTGTTCAGTGTAAATTTTCCCCTTTTTGTCTTTGCTTGTTCACTTTCTCCATCAGTCTCCAGGCCAGGTCACACTGCTTCTCTATACCTTACACAGCACATTAAACTTTACAATGCCTCCCCAGACACATACGAAGTTCCAGTTTCCATCTACAAGCTCACACAAATGTGGTGTGTCACAACCATGCTGGAAATCAGGATATGAAATTTGTTCATTCCTTGCTGCCATTGCCACAGAATTATATATTCAGACAGCATGAGTGCACATCAGAGCCAAACAGTACTGACTCTTACTTATGCAATAGAGTTAATCAGGTACTTGCAGAGGCTGCAAGGGTCATGAGTTAGTGAGGACTTCATCTTTACTGTACTCACAAATAATTGGCCAAGTTGTGCTCCTGTAGTGTGTGTGTTTCAAAGCCATGGGGCACTGTATCAAAGTAGTCATTTCCTATTCCACAGATAAAGCACTTTGTCTAAAAGAAAAGAATACAGAGCACTTCAACACTATACATAACCCTTGCCCCTCACTGAGAAAAGGCCAATAAAAAATGTAACAACTTCCTTGAAAATAGCAATACATCATATATAATATGTGTTGAACAAAAAGGCATTTCTTTTAAGCATCAAGACTGGATACCTCAACCAAGACACTTGAATAGAAGCTTAACTACCATCAGAATAGTTTCTGACTGTTTTGCCAGCTCTAAGCGAACAGGTATCAGGAGATGGAATGGCATACAAAGGTCACAGCTGACATTTTTATTTTTAACACTAAGGAGCACTTACTGTAACACACTGCAATATTGTTGTACTTGTCCAGCTGAAACTGAATATGCTCAAAATTTAGATTACAGAACACAGTAGGGTTGCAATACTTTTCTGAGTTCTTGCATTTATACTTCAATAACAGAATAAAAAACCACAAAGAACAGGGTACTTTCACTCATAGATTAACCAAAGAAAATTACGTCTGAGACAAACTGCAACATAACAGTGTTAACATGTTGTGTTAAAAACCTCCAGTTTGAAGAGCTGAAATGCTACTCAGATCCTGGATGTTAGCATAGTATTCTCTTTATAAAATTGCCTAAAAATTAATTTTATTGCATACTAACAGGACTACTTATGCAAGCTCTTATATTTTAATAGATTAAAAAAAGTCAATTAAAAATACCTCTCTTATTTTTTCCATCTAATGAATCAAGATGTGAGATTAGAATCACATCCAGGACATTGTATGATATTGGACCATGTACATGACTGTAGTTTCCACTTATTTTAAAAAGGTGTTCCCTAGCTAGATCACATTTTGTTCAAAAGCACATATTTCTGAAGCCTGAAAATAGGTATAGTTCAGCAACTTGATGTTCTTACCTCCATGTCTTCCTTTACTTGCTCTTGCTGATCTCTTAACTCACCAAAAGCATCAATAATTAAACCTAAGGTTTAAGTTAAAATGATAGTTAATCTTCAAGAAAAGAACTGTGACAAAGAATATTTGGAAATCCAGGGATAACATAACTCCGACAAAGAATATTAAATGAGGATCTTATGCAGAAGTAATAGAAGCCAATATATATTCCAAAGACAACAAAACCAGCTCAGTATATAAATAAAAATTAGCAAGTCAAAGAAAATAGCTGGCAATACCATTTTGAATTATAAATTAGGACAAGCAGACTTCTGCTTTATTTCCAGTGCTCTAATCTTGACTTAGTACATTAAGATATATTTGGTTTTACAGTGATTAAGGCCTTACTGTAGGTTAAACAGAGTTCAGAGATTTATTTCATGGGAGAGCCCAGAGCTCTGTACATCCTTTCTCATTATGGCTGTCATGTAATACAAGGTTCCACTGTCAGAGCTCTACAGAAGTAAGGGGTCATTTCAGGGAGATACAGAAAAAAAAA